TCTTTCCTCAGGGCCTGCAAGACAGAGCTGTTCCACCAGGCCTTTGGCCAAGGCACAGCCTGACCCCCTCCTTTGGCAATCCTCACAGAACTCTAGCCCAATGGTTGCCATTAATTTGATTTGAACTGATTTTATAATGAAATGATTTTAGAATGTTGTATTATTTTACTGTTGTTAGCCGCTCTGAGCCCGGCTTCAGCTGGGGAGGGCAGGTTATAAATAAATTATTATTATTATTATTATTATTATTATTATTATTATTATTAACCTGCTCATGGCCAGGTGGATGTTTTGAGCATGTTTTGGACAGGTGTGGCCAATAGCTGCAGTGGTGACTGGTGCTCATTGGTGGGGCAAAAAGCAGGTAACCAGCAGGGGGTGGTGCACGAGTCAATGAGAGGCAGGGGCAGGCCCTGGCTGGTTGCAAATAAGAAGGCAGGCAGGTGGAGGCTGGGTAAGACTGCAGGTTGGCGGAGCAGGGGCCCAATCTCCACTGATCCACTGCAACTAAGTCAGCCTGCCAGGATGTCATGGACTGCCTGGATAAAGAGGAATGGTGGAAGGCACCACCTGGGGAACCTCCAAGGGAAGAAGGCTCAGAGCCCAGGCAGTGGTGGTGGGACAATGAGGAGGGGCCAGAGGGAGAAGTCTGGGAGGAGAAGGTGTCGGAAGCTGAAGAAGTAACAGGGCTTAGCGAGCGGGGAGAATCTGTGGCAGAGAGAAGTCCAGAATCTGAGGCAGAAGCTGAAGCAGGAGAGGAGACCAAGAGGCAGAGATGAGTCCAGCTGGTGAAGAAGCAAGGGTGTGTCCCCCTCCTGCTGCAATAATCTCCCCTGCCCACTGGTCTCCCAGGACCAGGAGAGGCATGAAGAGGGCGGTAGAGAAGTTGGCGTCATGCAGGCAGAGTCTCTGATTGCGTGGGAAGAATCTGAGAGAGGAGGAGACGTCTCAGTCTCCACAACTGCCTCCTAGGGGCAAAACCTATAGAAGAAACGTAATGAAACAGTCAACATTTAAAAACTGCCTTCAGATGTCTTCTAAAGGTTGCATAGTTACTTATCTCCTTGGCTTGGGGGTCGCATAACTCCATACCCTCCAACATTTCTCTGATGAAAATAGGAATGCCCTAAGGAAAAGTGGGGCATGTTGGGATCAGATCAGAAACTGGGATAAATCAGGAATATTGAGACACTTGGAGGGTCTGGTGTTGGTGGGCCAACAACATCTGGAGAGCCACAGGTTCCCCGGATCCCTGGCTTAACACCATGCATGCGCAGGGTCTCCTGCCTGGGTGTGTCTCCCTAGGAGTGAGAAGGGGCAATTCTGTCATCAGAAATGTTTCTCCAGGCCTCTCTTCCGCCTCTTGTCGAGGTATGAGTCACTTCCAGCTCTCTGCTCAAGCGATGGGAGATGGCCCTCTTGCTGCAGTAAATGATGGGAGGCAGCAAAGTGAAGCAGGAACCTTGATCTCCTCCGCAGAGATTGGAGCTTTGCTTGGGGATCGCCGTCTTCCCCCGCCGCTAACGCAGCACAACGTTGCCTCTGCTTCCGAAGCTCAGAGGGGACTTTTTGGGTCTGGTCAATCCAGGACTCTCAAGCGAGTATTGCAATTGCTGTCCTGATTGCAGCATCGCAAGGAACTCTGCCAGGTCCCGAAACCACTGCCAGGAACAAGCCAAGATAGACTGTTTAAGTGGGAGTTAGGAAAACAGCCAGCCTGAGGGAAGGAGAAAACTCATCTCTATGATAATAATGATTGTTAACATAAAGAGAGAGAGGGGTCCCACAGGGTCACTATGCTTTATGAAATGTTTTATTCTTGTTTCCCGCATTTGTGCCTTTCCTCATTACTTGCTGGGATGAGAAGGTGGCAAGTCTTAAAAAGCAACCCCACACTTAACCTAGCCAGCTTCAAACCCAGGCAAACCCACACAATACATTTAAAGCACCTTTATTCTCCCTCCGCCCCCCAAAAATCCTGGGAACTGCAGTTTATTCACAGAGCCACAATTCCCAGCGCCCTTTATAAACTACAACCAGTATGAGGGTAGATGGGATTATCCCGTCATCTCAGCAACTTTGGGTTCATCTTGTCTCTGAACTGTTTCCATTCCACATGCTCCTAATAAGAACTTTGGAACTTGAAGAAGCACCGCCTGAGTTCCCCTCTTCCCTCCCCATCCTTTCTTCCTTCTGTGTCGTATTTTGAGACTGCAAGCCGGTAAACAAGGACTGCCCTGCCGTTCGCCTTTGCGAGATGCTCTCAGAGCCGTGCTTTGTTGTTGTTGTTTAGTCGTTCAGTCGTGTCCGACTCTCCGTGACCCCCTGGACCAGAGCACGCCAGGCACTCCTGTCTTCCACGGCCTCCTGCAGTTTGGTCAAACTCATGCTGGTAGCTTCGAGAACACTGTCCAACCATCTCATCCTCTGTCGTCCCCTTCTCCTTGTGCCCTCCATCTTTCCCAACATCAGGGTCTTCTCCAGGGAGTCTTCTCTTTTCATGAGGTGGCCAAAGTCTTGGAGCCTCAGCTTCAGGATCTGTCCTTCCAGTGAGCACTGAGGACTGATTTCCTTCAGAATGGAGAGGTTTGATCTTCTTGCAGTCCATGGGACTCTCAAGAGTCTCCTCCAGCACCAGAATTCAAAAGCATCAATTCTTTGGCGATCAGCCTTCTTTATGGTCCAGCTCTCACTGCCATACATCACTACTGGGAAAACCATAGCTTTTATTATATGGACCTTTGTTGGCAAGGTGATGTCTGCTTTTTAAGATGCTGTCTAGGTTTGTCATTGCTTTTCTCCCAAGAAGCAGGCGTCTTTTAATTTTGTGACTTTTAATTTCGTGCTAGGATGGGATAGAAACACTCTCCATGAAGCATTGGGATCAGTGCAGCAGCAAGGAGGCTGGAGTTACCTATACGAAGGATGCCCTCATGTCCCCACCCCTGAAGCTCCTTCGCAGGTGAGAGGAGAGCTCAGGCGCCACATGCATGCAAAACTCTCTTCTAAAGTGCACTCAAAGGTGACCCTTAAAGACGTTTCCATGCCACGAATTAATAAAGAGCGATGCAATTCCGCAGAGTACATATTTACCTGTTACGATAGGAGGCCCATTTAGCCGCCTTGCGCTTTATCAAAAGATGAAAGAATATTTTCGCCGGCTTTCTTGGAACATGGTTCCTGCCCACCCCCATCACCGAGCTGGTGGCAAGTATGGATGGAAAGGAGAGTAGAAGAACCACAGGTGCTTCCCTGAGCTCCTTGGAGAACAAGCTGCTCCCAGTCCCTAAGAACCTGCAACCCTCGAGGCGTTGCTGGACACCAGCTCTCATCAGCTCCAGCCAGCATGTCCAATGGTTAGGCACGATGGGAACTATAGTCTAAATACAGTCATATCTCGGGTTACAGATGCTTCAGGTTGCGTTTTTTCGAGTTACGGACCGCCGAAACCCGGAAGTACTGGAATGGGTTACTTCCAGGTTTCGGTGGTCATGCATGCGCAGAAGCACCGAATCGTAATCCGCGCATGCACAGACGCGCCGCTGCGGGTTGCGAATGTGCATCCCGCACAGATCATGTTCGCAACCCGAACATCCACTGTACAGTGGTACCTTGGTTTAAGAACAGCTTAGTTTATGAACAACTTGGAAATAGAACGCTGCAAACCCGGAAGTAGGTGTTCCGGTTTGTGAACTCTGCCTTGGAAGCTAAACATATTCCGCTTCCTGTTGAGTGTGTTTCGTTTGTAAATTGAGTCCCCCGTTGCTAATCAGAGGCTTCCTGTTGAGTCTGTCGGCTGTTGAGTCCCGAGCACCCACGCAACACAGAGGTGATATTTGGAGCTTTTGTTTTTGCTAATTTTTGCGTTTTTGTTTGTGCAGCTTTTTCATTTTTGTGACTGTGGCTTGTGACTTCCCTTTTTGTGACTTGTTTTTGTGACTGTGTGGAACCCAGTTCAGCTACTGATGTGGGGAGGAGTCAGGGTGGAGCTGAACCCAGTGGCCGCATGGCTCAATGGCCAGCAGCTCCTTCTCACTCTACGTGGGGCTGCCCTTGAGACTGACCCAGAAACTCCAGCGGGTGCAGAATGCCACGGTGAGACTCCTTACAGGATCCTCGCTGTGGGATCACATTCACCCGGTACTATACCAGCTGCACTGGCTCCCGGTGGAGTACAGGATCAGGTATAAGGTGCTGGTTTTAACCTTTAAAGCCCTATACGGCCTAGGACCCTCATACCTACAGGACCGCCTCTCCTGGTATGTCCCACGTAGGACCTTACGGTCTTCAAACAAAAACATCTTGGAGGTCCCGGGCCACAGAGAGGTTAGGCTGGCTTCGACCAGAGCCAGGGCTTTTTTGGCCGTGGCCCCGACGTTGTGGAATACTCTGTCAAAAGAGACTGGGTCCCTGCGGGACTTGACATCTTTCCTCAGGGCCTGCAAGACAGAGCTGTTCCACCAGGCCTTTGGCCAAGGCACAGTCTGACCTCCTCTCTCCTTCTGTAATCCTCATAGAACTCTAGCCCAATGGTTGCCATGAATTTGATTCTGAATTGATTTTAGAATGAATTGATTTTAGAATGCTGTGTTACTTTTATTGTTGTTAGCCGCTCTGAGCCCGGCTTCGGCTGGGGAGAGCGGGATATAAATAAAAATTTATTATTCTTATTATTATTCTCCACCTCATCTTGGTGCCGCCCCTGGGGGGAAGCTGTTTGGACCATCCTTCCCTTCCATGGCAGGAGGAGAAGGATGCAGCCACTGGAGGCACCTTGAACTCGGCTCCACACTTCAGATCTGTGCTTTCAGGACCTTGGAGGGACCCAGTCTCTATTCCCCAAATATGGGGGAGCTAGGAGCCGGTACCCCATTCCTCCCTCTTTCTTCATAGGAATACGTCTTCTCCAGCTTATTGATCTAAAAATTAACAAGCGCTAAGTTCAAAGCTAGCCAGTAGGCTGCTTCTTTTTTTTTTTTTTTTTTATAATATTTTTTATTGCATTTTTCCAGATAGAAATACAAGGTCAGATATACAAAGAAATAACAGAAAAAAGAAAGAAAAAGAAGAAAATCATCTTTTCAAAGCATTTTTCCATAACCAACCGGACTTCCCCGGCCCCCTCACCTTGCGTTCTTTACAATAAAATTTTTCAGCAAATTATAACCTTATTTCGTGCATTCTTTTGTTCTTTCAAATACTTGTGATTTACGTTTAAAATGCTTATTGTCAATTTGCACTAATAATATATATAATGTTCTTTTAAACGTTAGTCTTTTCATTAAAATAGCTTAGTTTCCCATACCTTAATCTTATTGCTGGAGCTGAATTTCCCTAATCATGCGAATTCTTAACATTCATATAACTTATAAAATTTTTGTAAATAATCTTTAAATTTTTTCCAATCCTCCTCCATTGCTTCTTCCTCCAAATCTCGGATCCTGGCAGTCATCTCAGCCAATTCCATGTAGCCCATCAATTGCGTCTGCCACTCTTCCAGTGTGGGTAAATCTTGAGTCTTCCAGTGTTTTGCGATAAGAATTCTTGCTGCTGTAGTTGCATACATAAAAAGGTTCTATCCTTCTTTAACACCTTCTGACCGACAATGCCCAGTAGGAAGGCCTCTGGTTTCTTGGGAAAAGTGTACTTAAACACTTTTTTAACTCATTATAGATCATTTCCCAGAAGGCCTTCACTTTTGGGCAAGTCCACCAGAGGTGAAAGAATGTCCCTTCAGCCTCCTTACATTTCCAACATTTATTATCAGACAAATGATATATCTTAGCTAGCTTGACTGGGGTCATGTACCACCTGTATATCATTTTCATAATATTCTCTTTCAAGGCATTACATGCCGTGAATTTCATACCAGTGGTCCATAACCTTTCCCAGTCTTCAAACATAATGTTGTACCCAATGTCCTGAGCCCATTTTATCATGGCTGATTTGACTGTCTCATCCTGAGTGTTCCATTTAAGCAGCAAGATATACATTCTCGAAAGTACCTTGGTCTTTGGTTCCAACAATTCTGTCTCTAGTTTCGATTTTTCCACCTGGAAACCTATTCTTTTGTCCAACTTGAAAACCTCTTGAATTTGAGCATAGTGAAGCCAATTTTGCACCTTATTCTTTAATTTTTCATAACTCTGCAGCCTCCAAGTTTCTCCTACTTTTTCTATAATTTCCCCATATTTCAGCCAACCAACCTCCATATTAGGTTTTTTCCGGGCCTTGGCCTCTGCTGGTGAAAGCCACCTCGGAGTCTTACCCTCTAATAAGTCCTTGTATTTTGTCCAGACCATAAATATTGATTTTCTAACAATATGATTTTTGAACATTTTATGAACCTTTACCTTGTCGTACCACAAATATGCATGCCAGCCAAAAGCATTATCAAACCCTTCCAGATCTAGAACATCAGTGTTCTCAAGAAGTAACCAATCTTTCATCCAGCAGAAGGCCGCAGCTTCATAATATATTCTCAAGTCCGGCAGGGCAAACCCCCCTCTTTCTTTCAAATCAGTTAGTATTTTAAACTTTATCCGGGGCTTTTGCCCTGCCAAACAAACTTAGATATATCCTTCTGCCACTTTCCAAAACATTCCACTCTGTCCACAATCTGTAGGGTTTGAAACAAAAATAACATTTTCGGCAATACATTCATTTTTATAGCTGCAATTCGACCCAACAAGGAAAGTTTCAATCTTGACCAGATTTCCAAATCTTTTTTGATTTCCAGCCAACATTTTTCATAGTTGTCTTTAAATAGATTCAAATTTTTCGCTGACAAGTGAACCCCTAGGTATTTTACTTTTTTTACCACACTTAGTTCTGTTTCCTTCTGAAACCCATCTATTTCTGAGGGTGTCAAGTTTTTCCCCAAAACCTTAGTTTTTGCTTATTCAACTTAAATCCCGCCACCCGACCAAACTCATGAATCAATTCTAATACTCTTTTTGTACTAGATTCTGGCTCCTGTAATGTTAAAACCAAATCATCTGCAAAAGCTTTCAATTTATATTGTTTCACTCCGACCTGTATTCCTTGTATCAACCGGTCCTTCCTAATCATGTTCAGTAACACCTCCAGGACTGAAATAAATAAAAGAGGGGATAGGGGGCACCCTTGTCGTGTCCCTTTTTCAATTTTGAACTCATCTGTCACCACATTGTTCACTATCAGTTTAGCTTTTTGCTCAGAATAAATTGCTTCTATTCCATTTTCAAACCCCCGTCCCACTCCCATCCCTTCCAGGTTTCTCTTCATAAATATCCAAGAAATATTATCAAAGGCCTTCTCCGCATCGATGAAAATTAACACAGCTTTCGTATTGATATTAGTTTGTAAAAGTTCCAAAATATCAATAATGTTCCTGGTATTATCAAAAAGATGTCTCCCTGGGAGAAAGCCTGCCTGGTCCTTATGAATTACTTCGTTAAGTATTTTTTAAGTCTGCTCGCCAAAATATCAGCAAAAATTTTGTAATCCACATTTAGGAGTGAGATGGGACGGTAGTTCTTAAGCTGAGTCTTTTCAGATTCCAATTTAGGAATCAATGTGATGAAAGCTTCTTTCCACGTTTCCGGTGCCCTCCTCCCCTCCATAATCTGGTTACAGACCTCCATTAGTGGTTGTATCAAATAGTCTTTTAGTGTCTTATAGTACTTGGAGGTAAGTCCATCTGGGCCTGGAGATTTGCCTAGTTGCATATTCTGAATGGCACCCTCTATTTCCTGTCGTGTTATTCTATTATTTAAGATTGTCCTCTTCTCCTGAGATAGTTTGGATAGACCGTTAACTTTTAAAAATTGATCTATCTCAGACACTTCCTGAGGCCCTTGAGTATCAAGTGTTTGAAATATTTCTGGAAACACTTTCTAATTTCTTCTGGTTTCTGAATGTTTCTCCCTTCCACCTCTAGATTAGTGACAAAGTTCAATTTTTGTCTCTTTTTCAACTGCCATGCTAGCAGTTTTCCACATTTATTTGCCGATTCAAATGATCTTTGTTTCATTTGTTTGATTTTCCATTCCACTTCTTGATTTATCAATTTCGCATATTGAGCTTGGTGGAATTTGATTTCTCTTAGAACCTCTTTTGATTTTGGTTTTAATCTCAATTTTTTCTCTCCTTCTCTTATCTTCTCTAATATCCTATCTTTTTTCCCATTCCAAAGTTTTTTCTTGATTGTGTTCTGTTGTATCAGAAACCCCCTCATTACAGCTTTACTTGCGTCCCAGATTGTTCTCTTTTCCACCGAAGTGTTCAAATTGATTTCAAAGTAGTCCTTTAAGGTTTTTTGGGCCTTCTTCACAATCTCCTGATCTCTTAGTAGGGTGTCATTCATTTTCCATCTGAAAGAACCGGTTGGAGTAAGTCTCAATTCTACTTTCAAAGCATTATGGTCGGAGCAAGTCTTTGGACAGATTTCCACTTTTCTGATCTTAGGTGCCAGTCCTCTAGTTGTCCATATTTGGTCGATTCTTGTCCATGATAGGTGGGCCTCAGAAAAGAATGTTCCTTCTTTACCTAAGGGGTTCCTTGTCCTCCAAATATCAATCAAGTCCATGTTATCAGTTAGTTCAAAGAAGGTTTTAGGTAGTCTGCCGTCTTTAGTTAAATTTTGATTTTGTGACTTATCCATGTGAGTAGAAACCACCCCATTCATATCGCCCATCATTATGATGTTGGTATAGTCCAGATAGTCCAGCATTATCTCATGCAGCTTCTTGTAAAATTCCGATTTCCCCTCATTTGGTGCATATATTCCTAAAATCAAAAACTTTTCTCCTTGTGTTTGTATCTCAATTGCCAAAATTCTTCCTTGCTCATCTTTAAACAGAAATTTCGGTGACAGGTTCTCCTTTGCATAAATCACTACGCCTCTTTTCTTCACTTTGTCTGATGAAATAAATTCTTGGCCTAGTCTTTTGTTGATTAACACTTTCCTATGGAGCCTAGTCACATGCGTTTCTTGCAAGCAAACAATATCCAATTGTTCTTTTTTCAAAATATGAAAAATCCTTCGTCTTTTTTCCGGGGAGTTCCCGCCATTTATATTCCAACTGTACAGCTGCAGAGACATTCTGAATCAATCTGTTGTTCCTATAGTGGGGTGTCTTCCTTTTCTTCTGGCCCCGAGGGTGTAGGTATCGGTGCTTTTCCAGGCAGTGGCGGTGGCCAAGAGGCTGCTGCTCCCTTCTGAAGGTCTTCTCCGTGGTCGTGCAGGAACTTCTGGTTATCTTCTGATGTTTTAATCTTAATTTTCTTTCCTTTAAAATTAAAAGATAAACCTTGGGGAAACTCCCACCTATATGGAATCGCGTTTCCTCTCAGTAGTCTTGCTAGGTCTGTATATGTGGCTCTGAGATCCAAAAGTTGTTTAGGAATATCTCTATAAAATTCTGCTCTTTTGCCTTGGATATCAAGTGATTTCTTAAAGTGGAGGCCTAGTATTTTATCTCTCTCCTGCTTGGATCTCAAAATAATCAAACAGTCTCTGGGCTTGTCCCTCCTCACGACTCTTCCTAATCTAAACGCAGTTGTGATCTTGAAATCTTTGTCCTCTTCTATACCCCAGAACTTGGAAAATTCTGCTGTCAGATAACCAATTAAATCTTCCTGTTCAAGCTCTGGGATAGCTCTTAATCTCAGATTGTTTTCCCGGTTTCTCAATTCCACCATAGACAGGTAAGCCTGCTGATCACTAATGTGCTTGTGTAGTGGCCTTACCTCCCCTTTTATAGCCTCAACTTTTTGATTTGCTTGTTCTGCTTTTTCATTGGCTGCTTCAGCCAGTCTCCGATTTTCCACAGTTGCTTCCTTGAGATTCCCAATAACTTGTGTATGTTGTGCAACTTGGTCAGACAATTTAGTAATAGAGGATGTGGCTTGATCTATTTTTGCCGATTGGTCATCCACCTTCTTGTTCAATATTGCAAATTGTTCTAGGCTGCTTCTTTTTTTAAAGAGTTTTCAGAATTTTATGAAACCAGAAGTTGGGGATCAAAAGGGTTTTCAAGCTATCCTGCTAATTGGCCGACAATGACAGAGCAAATTAAGCCCCGTGGTGTTTCCTTGGACGCAAGAAGTTATCTATCAAGCTGGCCTTTAACCGGCAGATTCTTGCTGCCCCCACCCCCTTAATGATTCCTCGCTAGGAGGAAAGGAGCCAGGGGAGAACGGTAACAGAATGAAAACCATGTCTGTTTTGCTAAGCGGATCCAAATCTCTCCAGAGAACGTTGCGGAAACGAGAAAACGAAAGGCTTTCTCTGCGCAGCCTGTAACCAATTCGTGGAATTTACTGCCGCAAATGTATGGAATTTATTGCCACAAACTATTTGTGGAATTTACTGCGACTCTGACGGTTTTTACAAGGGCTTAGCTAAATTTACGCAGGACAGAGCTAGCAACGGCTGTCAGCCATAATGTGGGTGCTGCAACAAAGTGTTGCACCACTAAAGGGCTCTTCGGGATTAAAGTCACTCTGCTTTCATTCCCAACAGTCAGTAGGCACCCTCTTAGCCACCGAGCGTGCTCAGGCCTCATAAAGTTGTTTTTGAAGTCCTTCCTGCTTACATTTTTATATACGGTATAAAGGTAAAGGTAAAGGGACCCCTGACCATTAGGTCCAGTCGTGGTCGACTCCGGGGTTGCAGCGCTCATCTTGCTTTATTGGCCGAGGGAGCCAGTGTACAGCTTCCGGGTCATGTGGCCAGCATGACTAAGCCGCTTCTGGCAAAGCAGAGCAGCGCACAGAAACGTCGTTTGCCTTCCCGCCAGAGCGGTACCTATTTATCTACTTTCACTTTGATGTGCTTTCAAACTGCTAGGTTGGCAGGAGCAGGGACCGAGCAACGGGAGCTCACCTCTGTTGCAGGGATTCGAACCGCCAACCTTCTGATCGGCAAGTCCTAGGCTCTGTGGTTTAACCCACAGCACCACCCGCGTCCCAGGTATATACATTATACCTGCTGATAATAGCTGTGTGTGTTGCAATTTTGCCTATGTAAAAGCAGTTGGCACTCAATGCCTGAACATCTGAAACAGAGGGAATGAGAGGGGACTGCAACAAAGTGTTGCTGTAGGGAGTCCTCCTTCTGCTGGATTCTTGTCACTCGGTTCCATTCCCTTTCCCATCCGATTTCCCATTTACCTCAACTACAGCATTTCCTGCCCACTGAATTTGTGCTGTCCATTTTTCTTTTTTTTCTTTTTTTGGACACTTTATTTCCTTTATTGCAAAACAATTTACATAAAACATAATAAAACCACAAACCATAGACCCTAACTAACAGCATATCATTTGGCATCACACATACTTTGACTTCCGATTCACCTCATTGTACTTTTTACACATTGTTGGTCTATACGCACTTCCTTCCTTGTTTGTTTTCCCTGTTACATATCAAGAGAAATTTTTGCTTTTATAATTTCCTTGTTATTCAAGATTCAATCTAAATCTGTCAGGACATTTGCATAGTCACAGTACTTTTTAAGATATTCTTTAAATATTGTCCAATCTTTACTCACTTTCTGGTTTGAGTTTCCTCTTATTCTCCCAGTCATTTTTGCAAGTTCTAAATATTCTACCATCTTCTCTTGCCATTCAATTTTTGGGGGAACTGAATCACCTTTCCAGTTTTTTTGTTATTAAAATTCTAGCTGCTGTGGGTACGTACATAAAAAAGGTTCTAAATGGTTTTTTTGTTTTTCAATGGACATAATACCTAACAGAAAGGCTTTGGGGGGGTTGAAAGGAAAATTTAAAGATCTTTTTGAATTCGTTATATATTGTGTCCCAGAATTCTCGTATCTTCACACAGTCCCACCACATGTGCATGAAGGTACCTACCTCCTTTTTGCATTGAACTTGTGCAGTCAGTCCTCATTGGCCAGTTTTAGGAACCGCCCCACCTTAAAGGTACAAACCTCAGGGTTCCCTGTAGTCTACGAAAATCTCTCACTTCTGCATGGGTGGTGCAATTTTGGCTACATATGGACTGTAGCTCAACGAGCTGAGATTCCTATGTGATGATGACTCAATGATGCCTCCATGGATAATGGCAGTATACCAACAATATGTTAGAATTCCTGTTCCATGATTGCAGTCATGGGATTGTTGTCTATCACATGACGGTGTATGTTTTGACTCCACAGAGTGGGAAGTGATGGAGACAGAATGTATGTGTTACTGTGTTCCATGAAGTGGGACTATTGTCCTTTGTTCTTTTTCTCTTTGCTGTCTGATGCTAGAGAGGAGGGGAGCCATGTTGCAGTGCTCCATGTGTGTTTATGTGTAAATAAAGTAGATTAGGCAAAATGCTGAGTTGCTGAGGTCTGTTACGCAAGCTGCAAAGACTCTGCAGATCCCTAAGTGTGCCAGTGTCAGCTGGCACCGGTCGCTGTGATGTTCGGGCAGAAGAAAGCTTTTGAAGCTCCCAAACGATCGACCAGGAGGGAGAGAACATGCCAGTCGGGCATGTGTCTATGCCAGAGTCCTACTCGAGTGTAGGACGAGCTCCTGACAGCAGTTGAAGAAGGAGCAAAAAGGGTTTTCTTGTGTGTGTGTGTTTCTTTGTGGCTGATTGGCTGCTCTCCCTGTGCAAAGGTCAGAGGGGGCAGGGTTTCTGTTGAGGCAGGTGATTAGCTGTGGGAGGAGCTTATCAGAGCTTGCAGGGCAGCAGTTGAAGAAGGAGCAAAAAGGGTTTTCTTGTGTGTGTGTGTGTGTTTCTTTGTGGCTGATTGGCTGCTCTCCCTGTGCAAAGGTCAGAGGGGGCAGGGTTTCTGTTGAGGCAGGTGATTAGCTGTGGGAGGAGCTTATCAGAGCTTGCAGGGCAGCAGCTGAAGCCGGAGGCGCACGCCGTTTGATCCATCTTTTAGATTTAGGGGAGCTAGTCTCAAACGTTTGTTGGGGGAGACCTAGGTTTTTTGGGGGGGAGTTATTTGTCCTGTCTTCACGCTTTTTATGATGGAGGACCGCTGTAGCCACCCCCAACGACACGTTCTCAAGATGGAGGGGGAGGGAACAGCTGCAGTCGCCTGCGGTTCCTGCGCAATGTTTGCCATCTTGCCAAAGGTTGCAGGCAGCTTTACCTGCAGCAATTGCATGTTGATTGCCCTCTTAAAAGACAAAGTCCAGCAACTGGAGGAACGTGTAGCTACGCTCCAAAGAATTAGAGAGCTGGAGCTCTTCTTGGAAGCAACAGAGCACACCGTCTCCACCAAGGAGGAGACAGGGGACTCCCTGAGAAGGACGCTAGTTCACCAACACAGAAGCCAGATATATGGAGACACGTGACTCAAAGAAGTAGGAGGCCCAGGGTTCGCTCTGATTGTTTAGAAATACACAATCGCTTTGAGGTCCTCTCCCTAGCATGGAAGACGAAGAGCAGACTCCATTTGAGGATCTCTCCTCATTACAGTCGATCAGGTATATGAAGACGAGCAGCAAAGTCAGTCCTCAGGGAATGTGCAGGCGACCTTGGA